TGGAAAGAGGGAACCGATTACAAGGAGCTATATGTGACCTCCTCCCTGGGGGACGGACATCAATTGTGTAAAGCGCATTTGTACTTCATTCTCAAAACATTTTTTCTCCACTTAAACCCCTGACATTAGGTCCTCATTTTCCCCCTCCCTCCCCGCTCTTCTTCTTTTTAATCATCTTATTTCGAGCTCTTACAGATATCATAGCATTCTATAGTTCTATCACATCAAGCATTATTGTACAATTGCTACCACAAACAGTTTCAAAACATTTTCCTTCTTCTTGAACTTCTTGATATCAGCTCCCCTTTATCCCCTCCTTTCCTTCCCCTCCAGGAACCCTTGTTTTATTTTATGCCATATCTCACACCATCAAATATATCCATTCACATACAATCCTGTTGTTCGTATGGATAGCTCTTGTGGAGCAACTGGTGGGTTTGAATTGCTGATCTTGAGAATAGCAGCTCAATGTGTAGCCCACTCTGCTGGCAGGGTTCCTTAACCAATATAATATGCTACATAAATAAAGGAAAAGAATCATATAATCATCTCAATGGATGTAGAAAGTAATTTGATAAAACCCAACACCCATTTCTGATAAAAACTATCCATGAAACAGGAATGGAAGGGAAATTCCTAAACATAATTAAAGGGATAAGTATACAACCAACAGCCAACATTATTCCCTTTGAGACAGAAACCAGACAAAGATGTAATTTATACCCTTTTAATTCAATACTGTACTGGAAACACTAGTAGTAGCAATAAGGCAAGAAAGGGAAGCAAAAGATATCATACAGAGACTATCAAACATAAAAAATGTACAAATAGCAAGAGATAAACTATATGACTGGGATGTCCTAAAAATCAAATACTTATTATCATCAAAAGATGACAACAATGTGTCTGATGGGCTGAATCGTTAAAATTTATGAAACACGTTAACACTATGACAACAAAAACACAATCTAATTTTAAAAATGGGCAAAGGACATAACAGTCACTTTGCCAAAGAAGGCATTCAGGAGATTAACACAAAGAGATGTTTTCAACCAAAACTATAATATACCACTATTTCACACTGGCAATAATGGCACTGATCAGGAAACAAAAATTCTGTCAAGACTGTGGGGAGCATGGAATTCTCATACACTGTAGATAGCAATGCAAAATGGTATAACCATTATGGCAAACAATATGACATTCTCAAAAAGTTAGAAACAGAAATACTGTATGAGCTAGAAGTCTTACTCCTGAGCACATTTCACATAGGAATAAGAACTGTGATATGAACAGACATATGTACATGCATGTTCCCTGAATTATGCCCAATATAAGGTGCTATAATGTGTTTTATCTTCATCACTATGACTGTTCCTCTTGTAATTTCTATTTATTTTCACGATTAGGCCACTATTTTTTTGCCCTCTTCATTAGTTGTGTGTTCATGGCCTTGGCCACAAGAGGTCTGTTGGAAGGTATGGCAACAACGTTGGAAAATGCTGCCCTGACAGGAGAGGTAAAAGCAAGGTTTCTCTTCTGTGGCAGCAGACCTAGAACTGATGTCCTGACCAGCCCCTTTTCTTCAGCCTATCCTGTGGCTTCCCTCAGGATGGGGTCAGAGAGACTGCAGCTGCTTCCAGCTGCATTTTCCTTTAATCTGTCATGGGCTTTTAAGCTGCAGCTGCTTGGCATCTGCTCAGTTTGGCCCCAACAGAGGGAGAGATTGTTTGAGAAGGAAATTTGTAAGCTTCAGACCATTCTGTTTGATGCTAAAGAAGCCATGAAATTATGGGACAGCATATCACAATTCAATAGGTCCTTATGAATTTTAAGTGTGCTTAAGTGTCTTTATTTCAGTATCTTAACCAAAGCACACACTCTTTTTGTTGAATAAAATATTTCTTCTAAATTGGCCATCTCAATACTGGTCTGCTCCTCCAAGCAAATAGGACACATACGTGGTGACCTACAATCTCCATTTCTCTGGTTTCATGAAAACACATCAAATGTTAGTGATGTTTCTTCAGATACTCTAGTTTAGGCTTGGAGGAAAGACAACAATAATTTCTTTCAAAGGCCTAAAGGAAGAGGCTTTGGTTTGTGCAGGAAGTACCAAATGATACAGAAATTGCTTTTCTACAGACCAAGAGGGATTGTTTGGAGGTGGGTATTATAGAGTGGTGCCGCCTTTTGTTTCCAGATAGCAACCTTACTCATAATGTGCCCGTTTAAGTGTCAGGTGTCATTTTAATATGCTTACATAAAAATGTAACCTCTCAGTTCACAACTGCACGTGGAAAGAGTTCATTTAAAGGGAAATACTTATTCCTACCTGCAGTTATGTGTCATATTTGTGTCACAATTTTAGTTGGTCATGGGCTTTACTTTAATTGGTCACATATTTGACATATACCTGGCACTACAGATGTGTCAAAACTACAGTTAGGAATAATTTTGTTTGCAAAAAACTTGTTTGCTAATGGTATGGAAAGTCCCTGGGAGAAGAAAATTAAACATGGGCAACTGACTGAGTTTTCACTTTGGCTGTGTTGGTTGTCACAGGTATGCCAGAGTAAAAAGAAGGGTGTAAGACACATAAAGTCCACACCAACACAACACGTTCATGAGAAATGAGAGCAACTATATCCATGTGTCCATGTGAAGTACCTGTCTCTCCCCAGAGGCTGTCAAAGCTGTTGATCTGCGCTCGCTCCACTTCCTCTTCATCTTTTTCTGGAAGATCAAGTAGGTAGGAGACAATCTGAAACAAGAAGTTGCATCAAATTTCAGGCAGGAATCTATGTTGTGACACTAGTTTGTGAGACTTGAAAGATACTTGAGTGGTCCAAGTGTCACTGTATCTCTTGCACACAAAAGGCAGCATAAACAACTATACTGGTCAAGACACCCAAAGCTGACACACTTGGTCCCTGTCATATCAGGGAGAATTTATTTACACGTTGCTCTTGAACAAAGGTCAACTCTATAGCATGTGATTCTACAGAATTACACATTCCTCATATTTAGGGTAATGATACAATTTTGCATCCCCTGAATATAAAAACCACAGAAGATAAATGTGGAGTAAACAGAGGACCTGGAATTCTCAGAGCAGAGTGATGACCTTCTTTCTCTCTCTCAGAAGTACAAGAACTGTTTTGAAAATGATAAGGGAGAATCGTTGCTCACAACAAAGGAAAGTGACAGTTCTCTCTCTGGGAATTTGAGTGCACAGAAAATTTAAAATCTCCCCCACAGCTACGAACAATTTCCATTTCACTTAAGATTCCCTCAATTGACATGGCAGATACCCATGCAGTGGAATACTGGCCATGAACCAGTCTTTGAGAGCTGGTTGTTAAATTTTCAGCAACATTAAAGGAGAGTTATAAAACACAACCATTACTAAAAACTACATAACAATGAAATGAGTGGTCTTTTAAAACAAGTATAAAAATACTCATATCTCATCATGTCTTCATTATTTAACTAGATTATACTATTGAGGTTATTTGTGTTTCCTAGGTTATGGGGTGGAAATACTATATAGCGGCGTACTATTGTACATCCCTTCCCAATGGAAGCTGGCATACATTACAAATCAGAGTCTGATTCAATGCTAAAGCTGAAAGAGCTTTCAGTTTAGTGAATATAACTTGTGTGAAGGGGAAAATAGTTTAGCAGATCAGATATAATGACAAATTATTTGGGCAAAGAGCACAGTGGGGCATAATTCCCTTTGCTAATGCATGCTTGAGTTGCAATCATAGGTTGGCTTTGAATATAAATTTCACAAAAATCTACAAGAGCATCTAATTAGGAAGGTTATATATTCCATTATTTGTATATTCTGCATTAAACCCCCTTATACCAGTAAAATTTATATTAAACCTAAATATTTTTACTTAATAGTAAACTTAGGTATATACATTCATCTCCTCCCATTTTTTACCACAATATCAATTCTGTGTATTCTGCTGTTATATACTATTAAGAAAATTTAGTTAAAATACCATTTATATATTTTTAAAACATTTATATTATTTTACAGTTTCTAAAATACCTTTCATAAAAATCTATACCCCAACATTATTAGTGTTATTTTACTGAAGGGCAACAAAGCCTCTAAGAAATCAGGTAACTTGTCAAAAGTCTAGAACTAATAAGTAGTGGAACTGGTTCTCAAACGTAGTCTCTTTCAGATTCCAAGTGCTGTGTTCATCCCACACTACACTGCCAGTCAGTTAAGTGATCACAAACCAGCCACTAATTCCTGAGCTTTGCTGTTATTATCTCTTAAAAAACCAATCCCACTGTGAGAAGATTCTGACTCACCATGACCCTATAGGACAAAGTAAAACTCTGTGTAGTATTCTAAAGCTATAAATCTGGAGGGAAGCAGAATGGCACCTCTTTCTCCTGTGAAGTGGCTGCCAATTTGTCCTGCTTTAACCACTATGACATGCGAGTGCCATTATATTTCAGGTGAGAGTGGGAATAAGGAGAGCAACTGGGTTACATATTTTCCAAAGTCCTTTCCAATTCTCATGTCCTATGCACATAATTCTAGGGCCAAGCCTTTGCAATGTCAGGCAGTTCATGAAGTTCAATCTCTCTTCTTCAGAACAGTGATGAAAAAGCAAATTCACATTAATTTGGTTTGATAAAGCAACATAAAAAACAAAACAAAACCCTTAAACCTTATCACCTACTTTCTTACCTCTGTATAACCCATGCTGGCTGCTGCAATGAGGGCCTGTTGGATAGCTTGACTCTTCTTAAATACTCCTTGCTGTTGGCCAGCCATTGTCCAATCACATTGAATCAAAAACTTGACAACCTCCAGATGACCTCGGAGTGCAGCATGGACCAAAGCACACTGTCCATTCTTATCCAAGTGATCCACCTAATAAGGGGACAGAAAAATCTGTGTGATCAAAAACGTGTGGCCCAAAAGGTAGAGCCTCATGCTAGTCTAGTTACACAGCCCACTTGCCAGATTACTAAGATAGCTCCTTTCTCACTCTCCAAACCAACCTCTGAAGGCAATTAGAAGACCATTTCCTACTCTAGCTACATCGCCACCACACTACAACACGGTTAGAGTCCCCACTGGAGAGAGATGGAGCCTGACTATATTGGTAGGCTTTTGTTTATACAGTTAAAGAAAAACAAAAATAAGACCCCAGCTCCAGCTTTGTCCTCAAGTAGCTCTTTGCAGACCTTTACTTGAGAGATGATGCCATAGCTCTGCCGGTGCTAGAAAGCATCTCTGAAACCATGAGAAGGAAGAAAAACATTCTGAAGCTCCAATTTTTTTTTTTTGGTTTTCAAAAGAAGTAAAATATCACATATCATGAATCATGACCACCAACTTTTGGTATTGAGTATTTCTCTTCTAATGGGAGCTCTCAAAGATCTTCCCAAACTGGCTAGAGGTATTGCTGCTTTAAGATAGGCTAAGCTCCAATATAAGCAGTTCTAAGAATTTCAGTGTTGGTTACAAGTTTAGGCTGAAAGAAGACTGTGATCACGATCAAGCCACCAGAATGTCTCTCATCCCAAGTCTCCACAGATAAGCAAGTGATCTTTCAGATGGTAGTTAGCATGTTTCTGGGTCCCTCACTGGCTTTAGTTCCACTCAGCCATCCACATAATCAATATTAACTGAATGCTTACTGTGTGTAAACTACTATACAGGATAAAAGGTATGTGAGATCTTCAGACAGATTCTACTCTTAAGAACTTTGCAATAAAGTAGGGAAAAAGAGGAAAATATGACAAAAGCCTATCCAAATAAAGAACTATAAGGTTAATGGTATGAAGAGAGTTAAACAATGCAATGAAATTTCAAAGGAAAAAAAAATTCACAGCTGGAATCTGGAACAGATTCAGAGGGAAATCAAGTAGTTGAAATAGGAAGTACCAGATTCATTTTAGTTTTTGTAAGGTTAGGGTTGATGAAGTTTGGAGTATAAAGTTGAGTGGATTTATTTTGGAACCAGAGTATGGGTGCTTTTGAATAATAGGTTAAGTGGTCCCCATTTTAATCAAGGTAATAGGGAAGACAGGGACGGTTTTCTAGTTCAGAATTGTGCTTCTAAAAACTAAGAAAATGAATACAAGGTACCCTGAATCCTTAGAGAAATAGTTGATTCCAGGCTGGGGCAGTAACAGTAAAAGATGACTCTGGAACATTTTTGGGATGCCAGACATTAAGAAAGTGCTCAAAGAACAATGGGTGGAAGTTGAAAAGACATAGGAACCAATTTGAAGGAGCTCACAATGGTAATATCTGGAGCAATGTGATAAACTAAACAACCACAGTAATGGATTATAGCCCATGGGAAAAAAGAAACATCCATGAATCTTAGTGATAGAAATAATTTAAAAATATATGGGGAGTATGGAAAGCTATTCCTGACATACTCCATTAATAGATGTTGAAGGAATGATGGAAAAAGAAACTATTAGGCAAACCTCATAGCAATCATTGTTGCAGGCAAGAATCATTGATGGATCCTAAAATAGCAGGCAAAGATATCTGGCTATTCTCAAAACATCTTCCCAAATGATATGAATTAATAGCAAAAGAAAAGCAAGTAGCTTTCTAGTTGAGACATTTGTAAACACCACCTTAAACAAGGAATCAGAATTAAGGGTAAGTGTTAGACTGCTAACTGCAAGGTCAGCAGTTCAAACCTTTCCAAGGAGATGAGGCTGTCTGTTCTCCCAAAGACTTACAGCCTCACTCACTCACTGCCACTGAGTTGATGCTGGCTCATAGGGACCCTATAGGGCAGGACAGAACCGCCTCTGGGTTCTGGGTTTACGAGAGTAGAAAGTCAAGCTCCCTCTTTCTCCTACAGAGCGGCTGGGGGTTTCAAACTGCTGACCTTGCAGAGCACAGCTCAATGTATGCGCCACCAGGGATCCTCCTTTTACAGCCTTAAAAGCCCTATGTTGGAATAGACTTGATGGTGGTGAGTTTAGTTTATAAAGTTATGGAGCAGTTTTACTCTGTCCTACACCAAAAAACCAAAACTCACTGCAATCAAGGTAATGCTGACTCATAGTGCCTCCTGTGCGTTTCTGAGACTGTAACTGTTTATGGGAGTAGAAAGCCAGTCTTTTCCCCAAGGAACTGCTGGTGGTTTCAAACTGCTGACCATGCAGATCATAGCCCAACATGCAGCCACTACACCACCAGGGCTCTGATATTCTGTCCTATAGGGGTGCTGTAAGTTAGAATCACCTTGATGGCAGTGAGTTTTACATCAAGCCACACAGACACTATGTGCTTCCCAGTGGACTGCAGTGAGGGCACAGCAGCACTTTTGTGACATTCTTGCCAGAAATATCTAAAACCAATCTAACCGTGAAAAATATTGGACCAACTAAAATTGTGGCACATTTTACAAAATTATTGGTTTGCCTTCTTTATAAGCACTGAGATTTTAAAAGAGCAAAGAGCTGTCACAGCTTGGAGGAAACTAACAGACATAACAACTAAGTGCAATGTGTTATTGGATTGAATTCTGGACTAGAAAAAGGGCAATAATAGGACGATTGGAAAAATGTGAATGTGGTATGTAGAAAGTTAATTGTATTATGTCAGTTTTAATGTCCTGACTTTGAGAAATGGATTATGGTTACACAAACTATTAACATTAGAGGAAGCTGAAAGAAAAACACAAAGCAATTCTGTAGTATTTTTTCCTCCTTGTAAATGCGTCTTTGGTTAAAGATCATTTTATTGGGGGGGGTCTTACAGATCTTTTAACAATCCCTATCAACTGTAGTAAGCATATTTATACATATGTTGCCATCATCATTCTATCAACATTTACTATTTGAGCCCTTTCTTTGTACTTTTATAAGTACAAAGTACTTTCTATAGTACTTTTATAACATTTTTGAAAGTCTAATGTTATTTCAAAATGAAAAGTTAAAAAATGGTATCGTGTGCAATAAATTAGACACTATTAGAATTTGAAAAGTCCTTTAGTTCACAAACATTGGAATCATCAGGAGGGTGGTGACAGTAGCAGCAGAAATGAAGGGATAGGTGCTCTTTCTCTTTCTTTAAGCTAAACTGTGGGTTTAAAAAAAATTTATTGGCACTTAATCCATATATCACACAATTCAATAGTTCAATCATATCAAGAAGAGTTGTACAATCATTACCCTAGTCAATTTTAGAACACTTCCTCCCCCTACCCCATGGTTAAATCACTTTTAAAATGAGTTGTGAACTCACCATCAGTTCTAGTGAGTGCTCCCTCCCTCCTCCCACAGACATTGTTTGTCCCCCTCCCCTTATCCTCCCTATCTCCCACTCCTCACCCCTACCTCCCCTATAACCCTTGCAGCAGTTCTTATCTCGATGCCTCTACTCCCCTTCTGTGCTTTCGCAAACTGGAAAACCCAACAGAAACAATAAAAAAACAGAAAAAAATAAAGTGGTAAGGACAAAATAATCAGAATACAGAGATAAAAATACAAATAGTAAGTAAGAAAGAAAAGACCACTGTGAACAGTTAAAAGACCAGGAAAGACATTTTTGTCACGGAACAAGCAAGAAATACTTGCACCTAGAAGAATTTCAGTTTGGGTAAAGAGGCAGGTCAACTGACCAAATATCAAGTTCGATCTAGAATAATCATGATTACAATGATCTCTATCTGATAGTAAAGCTGTTCGAGAGCCCCTGTGGCTCGTGGGGATCTGCCAGCAGCTTACTCAGGCTAGATAACTCTGCAGATGGGTTTTGGGCTCCCACTATCCTTCACAGCCTTCTACAAATTGGGTGTTCGCAATTTAGGCTCTGATATTTTTCAATAGGTGCTCTCTTACGATAGGTTTGGTGGGCATGGAAGGGATAGAATGGGACTTTCTAGTTAGCAGGTGATAGGAAAGTTTCTTTCTTAGGTTAGGGTAGACATTCAAGGACTGTAGAAACTGACAAAAGAGAGTGTGAATTAAAAGAAAAGAGAAAGTGACAGAACATGAGCAAAGTGCTGAGATTAAGAGTATAGGTGGGTCCATGTGGGCTTTGTTGCTTCTGAGCTAGATGGCCGCTTGTTTACCTTCAAGCTTTTAAGACCCCAGACGCTATATCTTTTGATAGCCGGGCACCA